ATATAGATATATATATATATATATATATATATATATATATATGTATATATATATATATATGTGTGTGTGTGTGTGTGTGTGTGTGTGTGTGTGTGTACACGGTCACCCCCCGTATTTTCAAAATTGTCCCGTATATTCGTTTTCTAAAGTTGGTTTTAACTGTATAAAATAAATGTAATGATATTTTGACGTTTTAATGTGATGTTTTTCCCCCTTAATTAAATCTCCTTAATAACAATTATTAGAAATTACATCTAATAAAGCTGCTCCACTCCTCTGGAGATAAGTGCAATGGATCGGTCACTTTTGAGCAACTCAAACACATATGGAGGAGACCATAGACTGTATAAAAACAGATGGAGACAAGTTTTTGTTACTATGAGTTATAACATATTTTAGTTAAATCTCAACGATAGGTTATTTAAACACAAAATAAAGGTTTAAAGCAGTATAATTACATTGTTTGCATCAGAAACATTTTCGATCTTCAGAGCATTGTCAGTCATAAAAAAAGGAGTGGGGGGAATGGAGCAAGCCCGGACTGGCCATCGGGAGCACCTGGTGACCCAAGGGGTAGCTGCAGCTTGGAGTAATGGGCGTGCCGAAAGGTTTCTCGACGTGACGTCACGCTTCATTTTTGAGGGGGGGGGGGGGGGGGGGGGGGGGGGGGGGGGGGGGTGAGTTCCGTACCAGCAAAATCGAAAGTAATCTCTTTCAGGGTACCGAACGGAGAAGGCAGGCGATTGACGACTTGTTCCAAAGTAGGCTGATTTCATGTTTTTTTTCAAGAATTTTTATTTATTTATTTATTTATTATTATTTTTTTACTTTTTTTGCATAGTCTACTTAATATAATTTAACAGTTTGGATAACTCGAACACTTTCAGATGAATTTGGGGACAACACGCCATGCAAGCTTATGTGTTGGACATATTTTTCAAAATACTTTTAAAATATCTTTTATTTCTATTTCATTATAACAGCGGTGTTGGTTGTATGCTTTTCAGATCATTATGAGCACCGTGACATCCAGCTTGAATAAATGGCAGAAGAAGAAGCTCTGCTCATTGTTCAACCATGCCAACCTTAGCCTGCTGTTCAAAGCCAGTGTGCATGGCTACAATGCTAATGCATTTCACCAAAAGTGTAATATGCAGGGACCAACTGTTATTGTAGCTTACAATGAGTCTGGATATGTTTTTGGAGCTTTTACTTGCAAGGATTTTCTTCAAACCAACCAAAATGTTGTGGATGACAAAGCTTTTCTCTTCAGCTTTAATGACAAAGAAATGAAAGAAGATCCTATGCGTGTGCTCAGTGGAAATCCCCAGTTTGCTTTCACTGACACAGGACCAGACTTTGGTTCTTTAGTGTTTCTTTATAATAACTCAGCCAGCGTCTACAGTAATCCAGGGACATACCAATTCGATCCACAGCAGATGCATGGGAATGACTTACAGCTCACAGAATGTGAGGTGTACAGAGTGGAAGGTTTGTATTATTTTGTGCTACTTTTTAGACCATTGCTGAAAGAGTAATGCACTTTAAGTAACGGCTCTGTGAATAACTTAATGTGGATTTTCATCAGGTTATGGAGCACTCATGGAGAAACCGTGGAGAAATGTGCAGTGGAACTCTGAGTGAGTAAAGCAAACCAAATTTGCTGTCTTCTTTAAAATAATTTAAATGTTAATTTGGTCTGTTCTCACTGTTTTAAGATCGAGGTCTTTTAAGAATTATTCCTGACCTATACTGTGTCCCTGGGAGTGTTTAAGGAATTTGACAATGATAATTAATAATGTTTTTAGGAGAAGAAAGGCGCTCTTGAGCATCATCTCTGGTTGGAAGCCTTCTGTTAGCTCAGTTAAACAGGCACGGATTCTACTGGTGGGTCCTGTTGGTGCTGGAAAATCAAGTTTCTTCAACTCCATCAACTCTGTATTCAAGGGTTATGTGAGCAGCCAGGCCAACACTGGCACTGCTGGCACCAGTTTGACTATTCAGGTAGACATGTATCCTGATTATGCCACCTCTGATGTTTTACAGAGTGAAATATTTTGTGAAGGAATGTGATTATTTATAAAAAATGTATGTATGTATTTGTGTATTGAAAATAATTGGTAAATATTTGTGCCATGTAGTTCCGTACCTACTACATAAAGCCAGGCAGTGGTGTCAGCCATGTTCCCTTCACTCTGTGTGACTCGATGGGTCTGGAGGAGGGTTTGAACACCGGTCTGGATGTAGATGATTTTGCTAGCATTTTGAAGGGACACATTCAAGACAGATATCAGGTAAGAACTTTAGGTAAAAGGTAAACATAATAGTTAATAAGTCTGGAAGATGTTTTACTTTTTAATTAGTTAGAAGAATAAAAAATTATGGACATTACATATATATATTATTATTATGGTTACACTTTATTTTAAGCTGTCCTTGTTACAGTGTAATTATACATTTAAGTACTGAGTAATATTAATTAACTACATGTACTTACATGTTAGGTTAGGATCAGGGTTTGGCGTAGGGTTACTTGCATGTAATTATGCATAATTAATTGTTATTATTATAATAGTAAGTACATGTAACGTGTGTAACAAGGACTCCTTAAAATAAAGTGTTACCATTATTATTATTATATATATTTTTATTCTATATTTTCTGTCTTAAATCTGAATGATTTAAAGATATTCTTCATATCTTTTTTTTTCTTAGTTTAACCCATCAATGCCTATACAGCCTGACTCCCCTCATTTCCATAAATCTCCTGGCTTGAAGGACAAGATTCACTGTGTGGTGTATGTGATTGACACCTGCAAAGTCAAGCTCCTCTCTGACAAAATGATCGAGAAATTTGCAGTTTTTCGAAGGAAAACCAACCAGCTGAGTAAGTGACAAACAATAATGAAGCAGATTTGAATTAATTTCAAGTGACATGAGTGTGTTGTGTCATCTAAATGATGGAAATTCAATTAACATTGTTCTGTTCTTCAGAAATTCCTCAGCTGGTACTGCTGACTAAGATGGATGAGGCCTGCCCCTTAGTGGCGGGAGACCTGAAAAATGTCTACCAGAGCCACTACATCAACAAAGTGGTACTTTAACATACATTTCTTTGTAGTCAGTATTCTGTACTGTTCTGTTTCCCATATATTGAGTATTTCTGATTAACTGTTTTGTGACAGATGCAGGAGGTTAGCGCTCAACTTGGAGTCTCTCTGTCTGCTGTGGTACCAGTGAAAAACTACTGCCATGAACTGGAAATAGATTCTCAAACTGACATACTGCTTCTAAATGCTGTTGTTCAGATGCTCAGAGCCACTGAGGGCTATTTTGATGATCTTTACAATCCTGATGAGCGGTCTGAGTAGAGCTCAGTCTATTTTCCCTGGCTGACCTAAAGGTTCTGCATGCATATCAGTATTAGCAAATCGTATGTTTCTGTTTCTGTTTCTGTTTGCATCCATATTTACTTGTTTATATTGTTTTAGGAGCTCATCTCTTTTTATGTATTATAAGGTCCGCTAATATTTCTGCTATTACTTTGAACATGCAAACCATTTGTGATCCAAACCATGTAACCATATATCAAATATTAAAAGCTTTATTCTCTGTATTAGTGAACAATTGGTGGTTTACATTTGAAATAAAGGCAATTTTGTCACTATGTTGATAATTGTCTTTACTTCATAAAGTTTATTTGTTGTAGAACATAATGAAAGAAATACATTCACATTGCACAGTACCAACAGTGGGCCATAAAAAGCATTAGAAGGCAATTGTTACCTTAAAGAGCTGTTTGTACCTGATCTATAACCCTTAAAATTACTTTTGTTGATGTAACCAAATGTAGTTAGGTTGATTTAGTGAAACCAGCTCATTTAGATGTTACCACATGAGGCATAATCTTTAGGTTCACTGGAAAAAATGTTTTGCAGTGTGACTTTTGTAAAACATTATGCTTAAACTCGCAGCAATACAAAAACTTCATATAGTCTTCATGTGAGATTGCCCTAAAAGCAACTGATCTGTTGCACTCATCTTTGGAGGGGCAGATATTGCTTCCCTCTTGTCACCCATCTTTTGAGAATCCTCTCATTCCCAACGTTTACAACCATACGGATCTATAATATCCTCTGGTTTGAGGGAAAAGCCTTCTCATCATTTGTGAGACTCATTTCAGCTCTTATTAAATACTTTTCTTCTCCACCAGTATGCTTAACCTTTTCATACTTTGGCTGCGCTCCCTTCTCGATGGGCCCAGGAGAGCCTTCTGGTGACCCAGCTGGAGTGGGGGTTATGAGTGGGGCTCCAGGCAGGATCTGTTTGAGAGGAGTTCTGATGGCTGCTGGCAGCTGTCTTGAAAGAGCCCAAAGTTTTTCTCAGCCATGTGTTTTTAGCAGCCTGAAGTTCAGTCGTCAGTAGTGCATTTTGGTGCTCCAGCTCCTAAGGACATCAAGATGATAGACAGAAAAATGAAATATAATTTGTAGTCTTAAAGTATACATTTAAATTAATTAATGAGACACTTCAATAACACTTAATAATAAGCTTCAATTCTTTAAAGGTGCAGTAAGTTATTTATGAGAAACGGATCAGACTGAGCACCAAAACACACTTGTAGCAAATCACCAGCAAGGGGCGTGTCCAGTCATGATGGGGGAGGTGCCTGTTGCATGTAGCATGTTTGTGAATATAGGGGTGGCGCTATCAAGATAGGGTTGTGATAATTTTGGGTAGGGGCATGTTTGTTTTGGTCATTTCAAATATCAACAGCATATCTCAGAAGTGTTTAATATAAGGTAATGCATTAGGTATCATGAGCAATGAACAACATTTTTAACAGCATTTATCTATGATAATATTAATACATTTACTATGGCTCATTGTTCACTCTCAGAAAAACTTTGAAAGGTACAAGTATGTACCATTAACTCTTTAGGTACTGCTAAAGAGTTAATGTTATTCAGTCATGTTATTCATAATACACAAATCAATGGTAATTTATACAACTTGCATTCTTAAAAATGTTTTTGCACGAAGTACCCTAGATTAATAAATGCTGAAAAATATTGCTTGTTATTAGTTAATGATACCTGATACATTAACAAATATTAACAAAATTGAACCTTATTGTAAAGTGTTATATTTATACAGTAATTATTTTACATTTTATGTAATGGATGAAAAGTTTCCACTAATTATTTAATTGTTTTATTTAATTTTTACATGGAAAGTTTAACAAGAAAACTTCTAATATAGCTTTTCTTGGTTAATTAAGAAATACTTCCAGAATTAGAAGTGTTACTAATAACACAAAGACTCTTACCTGTATCTTGCATTTGGACTCCACCATTTGTAGCTTGGTCTGGGCCAGCTCTCTCTCTAATTCTTGGACCTGTTCTCTGAGAGATGCCTTCACTTCATCCTGAGCACAGGTATCTTCATCCTCAGAGCACAGCTGAATCGATCCATCCATGCTAAAGATGTGTCGGCAGCGCTCACACTCCAACATCTTGCTCTGAAAAAGTATCATGTATCACTAAATATCATGCTACTAAAATAAGACTAATGGTTAATGTCAAGGTGCTTTGAGGTCAGTATGTTTCTTACCTTGAAAACTGCCAGCTCTTTGTCAGCTTGAGCTTTCTGGTTTTCAAGTTTAGCATTCAGTTGAGAGCAAATCTAAAGGATGCAATAAATTGGGCTGAAAGTTGGCATCAAATGCAATAATGTTTACTGAATGTTCTAATTGAATGTTTACCTGCTTGTAGTCTGTAATGATATTGTTTGATCTCTTAATATCGGCTTCTGCTTTGTCCAGCTCTCTCCTAAACATCCCTTTTAGCTGTCAAACACATCAATACTTTAGACAAGAAAAACACTTTATTGTGTACATCAGTGATGTTAAAGCCCACCTGTGAAGCCTCCTCCTCCTTTCCCCTTTTCTCCTCCTCTGTAACCATCAGAAGCTGTTTGGTTTTCAAAAGCTCCTTGGTTAATTCATCCACCTGGTCCTCAGTCTGAAAAACACAGCAGATCTATCTAAACATACGCAGCAAATAAAACAGAAAATGAAACTGGCCCGTTGTGTATGACATGCACGACTCGTAATAATTTGACAGACCTGATCTAAAGCATTCCTCAGTGCAATCTTGCTGATGACAAGTTTTTGCGCAAGGTCATCATTCTCCTGCTCCAGGCGTAAACTGGTCTCATGAAGCTTATGGTTTTCTCTCTGGAAAGAGAAATCATTCTTTTATCCCACAGATCTAAAACCCTGAAGTATTCAATGCACGATTATGCAATTTTCACAAAATGTAGATGTTGAAAGAACTATACAGTTTTTGTAGATGTGTGTGTTGCGAAAGGAGGACTGAAGCCTTTTGTTTTCGTCAAGGTGTGATCTCTTACCTCGTACCTGTCGAGTGAGTCTTCTGGCTGCACTTGGTTATCCCTTAATTTTGGCTTTTTAGAGGGCACCTGTTCAAAAAGAAGATTCAAAGACGTTTCAGATTATATCAGGTGTGCAAACTCTTAAAGGCATGAAAGGAATGTACTGTAACATATTATACAGTAATGATTGCAGGATTGATATGAGCTGTATTTCTTGAAATGTTGATTAAATTTTGATTAATTTATATTTAAATACATTCATTTTAATAAATATTAATTTATTATTATATATTACATTATTATTATATATGATCATATATACATATTTAAATTAATAAAAATGATAAAAAGTTAAATAATAATAATATACAAAATGTATTTTATGCATTATGTAATATCTACTTTTTAAAAATTAATTTACGTGTAATTACATATATATATATAAATTAATGATAAAACATTTTAAAAATAATTTATTTTGTACATCATGTATTTATTCTAATATTATATAGAAAATATATGTTCGTGAGCACCAAGGAGTAAATGATCGCTAATGCACTAATATTTCTGCATTGTTGTAAAGAGATTTGAATTAAAACGTGCTATTGTGCTACACCTTAAAAATTCCAGAATGCCAGGTTTGAATCAACGTGACAAACATGAGGTCAAAGGGTGCTGAACTTACCACTTGTTTTGGTAGAGTCTCCACTACTAGACTAGCCAGGATCTCCTCCTCTGACATCTGGTCAATAATATGGGCATCATAGGCCACAGCAATAGACACTTCCTCCATCATTTTGGCAGGTGAGTAGAACGCAAGCGATCTCTAAATACAAAGTAGGCAGCTAAACTTGTCAGGAGAAATGACAACAGGTTTTACAGGCAGCAGTCTATATCTGTCTGTCTCAATGCAAGCCCTGCCCCAACGTAACACTATGGGAGGGGATTCATTTCAGTCCACCTTTGTCCTCTGGATCTTCACTTACCTAACAAGCAGGTACAAATACTCTTCCAAATTCTCCCTATTCAACTTCCTTACAGTATTATTCCATAATCCAGCAGCCAGAATTTATTATTTCCACACACAATTTCCTCATTGCTGAAGCAGAACTCAGTTAAATATTATTCAAATGATTAATCCAACACATAGGACCTGGAACAGATATATTTTTCAGAAGAGTAGCTTTTACCGTCGCTGTTTAGTTTGCTAGCCTGCCTGTGGGTTCAAGCTCAGGGCTAAAGACTGTGAAATTGAAATTCTTGCTGTAATCCTGTAGGTCGCCTCTTACACAAAAACACTGCAGTTTTCCTGGGACAAGCAGGTGCCAGTACATTCCTCTATTCCTTAAGCTTCTTATCTGGCCGCTGTATATGTTCGGCAGGATTGATGGAGGCTGTGAACTATTTTTATCATCTCACCGTGGCTTCAGGGAGGCATAATGCAGATATTATTAATTAAAACTGGTTAAAAAGCACTAGAGTTTCTTATAAAACTATGTTTGCTTCTTTGTCTGAAATACAGAGATAATTTGCTGTGGTCATCAGCCTGAACAAAGCCAAGCTGGGAGAAAGAGAAGAGGACAAAAGTGAACAAAAGTGGGGGAGGATGTTATTAGTAATTGAAAGAAGGGAGGAGAAGAGAGCAATAAAGACAAAGAGCAAATTGTCACGGTGTTCAAAGGTTCTTGTACTGGAGGAGGCGCCACCTTTCAGTCCTCAGGTTTCGTCATGATCCTGTGAAGCAAACAAACAAACGCACAACTTTCTCCAGGGCACATTCACTGTGAGGGGGGAGTGACTCTCACATCAGTTTGTTAAGTGTGCTGCTTGTTATGGCTGAAAAAGCTTCATCATACTGAGAGTGAAATTCTTTTACATATGCTGAACTGCAATCCAAATGAGATGCATGAAACAGCTATTTGTTTAACAAGATCTTAAACTGGTCCTACAAGTAGTTTAACACAATACACAGAGAGAATGCAGTCTCTGCCCTGCTTGGCACTCCCAGATCTGTCAAATGTCTTCAGCGCTTTAAGATATCAAAGTGAAAGAATAGGCTGCAAAGAGAAAACTGTTTAGTGAAGAATAGTGAAGATTTTGTCAAAATTACATAAATGTGTTTCCTCATGCCGTGGATTTGTATACTATACTATTTAAAAAATGTTTTTTATAGTTTTATTAAGCATGCATACATTAAATTGATCAAAACTGACAGTAAAAACATTTATATTGTTAAAAAAACTATATCACATAAATGTTGTTCTTTTGAACCTACTATTGATCAAAGAATTCAGAAAAAAGTGTATCATGGGTTTCCACTAAAACATTAAGCAGCATAACTGTTAGGAAATGTTGTTGAGCATCAAATCAAATCAAATCATTTAAATGATTTCTGAAGGATCATGTGACACTGAAGACTGGAGTAAGGCTGTTGAAAATTCTGATTTGCCATCATAGGTATAAATCATATATAAATAAAAAAAAATGAAATGCTGCCTGCAGTGAAAAAATACTTTATAACTTCTATCTATCTATCTATCGTAAACAAAAGCATTGGCAGTCGGCTCTTAGATACAGATAGACAGACTTGACAGGAAACATTTCAATCATTGAAATAATTTGATCTTTATGTACATGTATTTGTATAGATGTGAAATGGCTTTTATTACTCTGATCACAATTGACCAATTTTATAAAAGTCTACAGGCATTTATAAATGCTTCATTTATATTCAAAAGCATTCTGTGAAATATGTGGACAACAGGCTAGAAAAAAAAAATGAAATGCTGCCTGCAGTGAAAAAATACTTTATAACTTCTATCTATCTATCTATCTATCGTAAACAAAAGCATTGGCAGTCGGCTCTTAGATACAGATAGACAGACTTGACAGGAAACATTTCAATCATTGAAATAATTTGATCTTTATGTACATGTATTTGTATAGATGTGAAATGGCTTTTATTACTCTGATCACAATTGACCAATTTTATAAAAGTCTACAGGCATTTATAAATGCTTCATTTATATTCAAAAGCATTCTGTGAAATATGTGGACAACAGGCTAGTATTTTAAACCATAGACTGATATACTCCATATTTTTTCCCATTTTTGCCAAAAATAATTCACATGTAAAATAGAAGTGCCATTCTGTGATTTGTATTGTGAACCAGTTACTTACAAAGTGTGCTTCAGACAGAGTGAACATAGACATCAGAATGCACAATTCATAAACCAATGGCTACTCAAACAAATATGTGAGAAAATATAATTTACACATTAGCAAAGACAAATAATAAGTATCCTTATCGTTCCTATAAGTATCATTTTAACTGCCATAATACCATACAAACAGGGACAAGATATATTAAATGTTTTATTTTATATTTTCCGGTCATTCTCTTTCAGTGCCTCAAGAAGATTTTTGAAAATGTTGTGTATAAATCTAAAAATAAAATACCATTAGAGATTTCAGCAACTGCACTGAAATGTTACTTTAATAAGCTCTTAATCGTAGTATGTAGTGGATATGGACAAAGAAATAAGTGAGAATTAACAATTTAACTCCAACCTCAATCTTATTTGAAAATGACAACTGTCAACACATCTCACTCTGTGCCATTGTGAATTTGAGTTAATGTGACACATATATTCAAATATGAATAGACCAATATAATCATCATCAGTAATTCATTTAACATTATCCCAACAGATCAACACACATGAAGACAATCACATTTTGGATAATTTCTCATTCTAAAATATTTCCAAAGACAAAGGTTCAGTATATCAGGGATATTTAGATAAAGCTGAATGTCATGGTCTTTCCAACAAAGATAATTTTTTTAAAAAGCTATTAAAATTAGTGTGGAATGTTTGCCTTTTATGTCACGATAAACAACAAAATACTTGAGATGAGCCTTAAAAAGCTTCCTTGGGCTGCTTTATTTCGATTTTCTAACTATAATATATGCTTTATCTGACTTTTCCATAGAAATAAAATACCCTTTTTGCATTTAACGTTTAAGACTTACATTAAAAATGCCAAAAACTCCACAAACACTTCATGTCATATAACACACAGCCCTCAAAGCACAAAGAGGGAGGGATGTGCAAGGAAGAGGTAAACAGCAGGTAAAACAAAAGATAATGGAAGACTAAAGATGGCCATAGACCTGTGTGGAAGAATAACATGGCATCCCGTAGGTCATTTTGACTCTTGGCGCATGGAGATGTAATGCCCCAGTTGCTCTGGTCCACAGAGGCGACTCGTTCCCTGGGTCCATCTCCGGGTCTGTGAGGGTCAGACGTCAGTGCTGATGGCTCGTGTATTGGTGTAAAAGTCTGACGTACTGCGATGGCTCAGCATGGGGCCGTACATGGCGGCCAGACCAAGGGCAGTGGCGCCATGGTTCTCGTAGTGAGTGGGCATGTAGGACAGGCGTTCGCCACCGTTCCGCATCTCATCCGTGCCACGGAGGTAGTAGGGTGAGCAAGTCGGGCAGTAGCTGTGAGGCGGAGCGGGGTCGTAGGGCAGTGAGAGAGGTGTGACGGCCGGCCCATCCACTCCTGGAGCACTGCATGTGTTGCAGGCGAACTGTGGCTGAGGATCTCCGACCGAGCCCGTCTCCCCTTCTGACTCATTCCTCTTACAGCAGTAATACTAGGATGGAGGGATGGTTTGATATACAGAGGAAACAAGATTGGGCATTGGGCCTTCAACACATATCTTCCTCAAATTGTTGAGTAACACGCTGAACTTATTTGAGCACAGAACACAGAATGATTCTTCAATGGATTTTGGTTATTTAAATAATAGAGCTGTTGAGTCATGAGGTCGTTTTTAGGTCAACAAAGTAGCTAAGGCTAAATTGACATAAGGGGTTTTCCAGAATAGCAGTTTTTAATCATAAATAAAATAAGGTCTGTGGTTAGCACTACTTGAAGAGACATTAAAATCGAAAGTAAAGTCAAATCATCACCTTAAGTGTGAATTTTGAAAACATATTGGTAATCATCACAGATTTTTATGTACTTTTAAATCTGAAACCCCATTAGAAATTCTTAAGGGAAACCATAAGCTATTTTTAGCTGCTTTTAGGACTGCAAACTAAACAGCTCGTAACAAATTTGGGCCATTCACACTGAACATGTTTTGGCATTTCACTGCGTTGCTTTTCTATTGTTTTCTATATAAACATGCGCTAGACTGACATATTTCACTGTTGTGCTCACGTAAACATAGCACTCAAGTTAAAAAAGTTATTTGAAAAAACATATTGAAATTTTGCATTTTGTTTCCCATTCAATGGCCCTGTGTCTTTTTAAACACAAAAACATGTTCTGTGTGAATGGCTCCTAATTCGACATTCAGGAATTTTCCTTGGGTTTTTCTAATAGTGAATAGTGAGTAGTAAAATATGGTCTGCAGTTAGCACTACTTGAAGAGACTTTCACATTTCAAATGTGAATTTTGCAACAGTATTTAAATGTAAAAAAAAAAGGCATTCTAATACACATTAGAAATTCTTAAGGACACCCATATCTCAAAAATGCAAATTCTCTGCTGGGTTTTGGGACTACAAACTTAACAGCTTACAAATATTACATGCTGTTTACACAAAATGCACTTTTGCATTTTCGCTGCTTTTCCATTGTTTTTCTGAGTAAATATGGGCTAGACAGACATGTTTGACCATTGGGTCTTTTGCAACATCTGGCTCATGACATAGCGCTCTAAAATGTTTTTAGAAAAGTAGTTACAAGAAGTAACATTTTTTGAAAAATGCATTTCTAGACCTTTAAAATGCAAAAACATGTTCTGTGTAATTGGCTCATTAGCCCTGCATTGAAATGTAAATGCAATGCTCACCTGGAGTCTACAGTAACAAAGCACTGCAATGATACACAGGAGTATCACTGTTGCGAGAATTCCTCCGGTTATGACAACAGTTCCAGCTGTCATCCGACCAGATCTCCATCAAACCCTGAGAAAAAAAGAGAGGGAGTCAATTGTCTGAAACTTCATTTCCATACAAATTGGTATTCCAAAATGGTAACTTCAGTTGAATTATATGTGTCAACGTATGTGTATGGATTGCATTCAGCACTTACATTAGAAGAGAGCAGAGAGGACGACAGGCCAGAGAGTTTGTACTGCTGCTTCTCCTGATGCACGGCTCATGGGTTGCAGACACTAAACTGCACAGTTTCTGGATATCACAGAAGAAGTGAAACATGTGATGTGAATGATAGATTTTTAAGAACTTCTGTTTCAGCAATAATATAACAGCCACAATAGCCATTCCGTCCAGAAGGAGGCAGTACAATATAAGATATGCATTGCATCACAGAGATACACATCACATTTTTAACATTTATTCAACTAAGAATAATGTGTTAACAGGATTTTGATATCTACAAAGATTATAAGCATAAGTTAGGCATGGAGACATTTCACAGTCTTCACAGATCTTGATATTGTACCAAGATCATAATTCAAAGCAATAAACAAGTAGTTTGAATCAAAGATAACCGAAGCCACTGGCAGGAAATGATGGAAAAAAGAGACAGCAAACATGGCAGAAAACCTAAAAAACAGAATAGAATATTATACTGGCTTTATGGCTCAGAGCCTGACATAAAATACTGTATATTAGTACATTACCAATGAGAAAAAGATCAACTTAGAGGCAACATACAGAGCACCTTATGTTAAGATACAATTGAAACAAAATTAACAAGTAAAAAAAAATTGAATGTCCTCTTAAATGCAGAACCCAGACTTATCTACACTCTTAAAAATAAAGGTGCTTCAAAAGGTTCTTCAAGCGATGCCATAGAAGAACCATTTTTGGTTCCACAAAGAACCATTCAGTCAAAGGTTCTTTAAAGAACCATCTCTTTCTTACCTTTTTGTAATCTGAAGAACCTTCTTTCGCCACAAAGAACCTTTTGTCAAACAGAAAGGTTCTTCAGATGTTAAAGGTTCTTTATGGAACCATTTAGACAAAAAGGTTCTTCTATGGCATCGTGAAGCATTTTTATTTTTAAGAGTGTAGTTCAAAATCAGGGATGTTATCCCATCCATCACAAGTCCTCTTCCTGTCAATTTTCTCAGAGTAAAAGCACTAAATTGTATATAGGAATGGTGGAATGCTAATGCTGTTAAAAGCAATGTGCCATCTATTCTCCCTGGCAAAATCAGGGATGTTGTCCCATCCATCACAAGTCCTCTTCCTGTCAATTTTCTCAGAGTAAAAGCACTAAATTGTATACAGGAATGGTGGAATGCTAATGCTGTTAAAAGCAATGTGCCATCTATTCTCCCTGGAATGTGGCCAAGCAGTATGTTCCTGTCCCCTGTGCTGCTTGCCAGCAGTTAAACTCTGAGAAAGTACGGGATGTATGATCTTTTGGTGGGTTGCTGGAGGTCAAACCTCTCTATCATGGCAACACTGACAGCAATGGGCCACTGATAGGCATGTTTGGACAATTACATGCAGCTGATAGGCTAGACAAGGTCACTGTAAGTACACTGAGAAGTACACAAGGACGGGTGGGAATTGGAGTATTTTCTTGTGCTAATTTGTGGTGATACTGATGGCAACACTGACAGCAATGGATCACTGATAGACATGTCTGGACAATTACATACGGTTGATGGGCTAGACAAGGTCAATGTATTCTACAGCATATGACCAGGTTCTCTTACCTGAAATGAAATTGGCCATCTTTGGCAACTCTGACACATTTTCATCTTTGCCTTATTATTTGCAGTTAGCATTAATGCTGGGCATAGTGGTGGCCAAGAGAATTATAAAACCCCTGCTCCCCTATGTTTTCAGAGATGGCTTGCTGAGATGGTCTCTGTCTTGCATCTTGAGAAAATACGGTTTAATGAAGCATGGTTGATGGGCTAGACAAGGTCAATGCATTCTACAGCATATGACCAGGTTCTCTTACCTGAAATGAAATTGGCCATCTTTGGCAACTCTGACACATTTTCATCTTTGCCTTATTATTTGCAGTTAGCATTAATGCTGGGCATAGTGGTGGCCAAGAGAATTATAAAACCACTGCTCCCCTATGTTTTCAGAGATGGCTTGCTGAGATGGTCTCTGTCTTGCATCTTGAGAAAATACGGTTTAATGAAGCAAAGTCTCTTAATAAATTTTTCAAGGTTTGGGGTCCCTTCCTCCAACATTTACATGACAGTAGAATTGAAAGATTTTGACATATTTATGACACTATGATTTATATCCCTTTCTTTTTGTGATTTATCCTTCTCCCTATTGAACGTTATTTAGGCACTTTTGTCATTTGTAATGTTGTCTGGCCTCTTTTTTTCCCTTCTTTTTTATGTTATGTATTTACTTATTTATGTTTTTTTTGTTCACTGTTGTTGTTATAAAACTAATAAATACAATATTGAGAGTGTAGGATATCAGACCGAATCAGACAATCTAAGATTTGGTCAAAACCGAGTTGAGGCATGAGGAGTATCCCTATTGAACGTTATTTAGGCACTTTTGTCATTTGTAATGTTGTCTGGCCTCTTTTTTTCCCTTCTTTTTTATGTTATGGATTTACTTATGTTTTTTTGTTCACTGTTGTTGTTATAAAACTAATAAATACAATATTGAGAGAGACAAGGTCACTGTAAGTACACCGAGAATGCATTGAATAACATGGATGGATGGGGATTGGAGAGTGTTTGTGTTTATCCAAGTATTTTCTTGTGCGAATTTGTGGCGATACTGAACTGTGAAATTTAACATCAAAGTGATGGCATTTCTGCACACAATTCCAAAATCCAAAGTCTGCTCACTTGGTGATATATTCATATTATTAGCTTCAACTAAGAAAAATAGTATAATGTACAAAACAATTGGACTAGCAACAAGACAAATACTGCACTGCACTGTATATATATAAAAAAACTTTACATCACTAGTAAGAATAGCATGCTACTCTGAATTCAACCCCTTTGAAGATTTTACCAATAAGGTGGTCTTTTACCCAAAAGTTAGATGGGACTTCCTTTCTTACAGCCACTTAGAGCAATACTATTAATTTTCCTATGTGTGGCTTGTCTCTTTTTTCTTATACCCAATATGTCTCTGACCATACATACCGCATAACCATATTACAGATAAAACCACACTGCAGTGTACACTGAAGCCAAAAAAATGAGAACCAATAAATAGAGCTGTGCTTAAAATTTGTCCTCAATGGATAGTCAATTATTCACAGTGAAAAGTAAAAGACACCACTGGGCACAATGAACACTTTGATAATAGAACTACCATACTGTTCATTTGGCTGATTACATTTCAGTGTTTTTGAATTGAGCTCAGACTCACAAGCTGATGACGGCTTTCCCATCCCACAAACATGTTAATTCGGCTGACATTTGAGAGATTGTTTACTGTATATTTTCAATTGTTTATTCATGAAACGTGCATAATAATATGAGATGACCACCCCATGTATATAATGTAGGTATGTGAGGAGATGCCGACGGAGATGTGCTACAAAAGGAAGTGTGACCCAGCACAGGCCTTGTCAGCATGCTCGTTTATCACCTGGCTCACTCTATTACACCAATGAGTCTGCAGATCAATAGACAGATGCTCGTATATCTCCGTTGCCATGGTACCTAGGCCTGCTGACCCACTTCTCCCCAAATTCCCCAACACCCCTCTCCTTCGTTCATTCTCTTGCTCCTTTTTTTTATTCCGTTCCCCCCTTGATTTCTAGTTTCCACTATATTTCAGTGCATCACTAGCACACATCAGTCATCTTCACACTGTGAAAGCTGCACAGAAGCCACATATGAAGCTGCACATATACTATGAAAATGTGTTTTGGGTTTGGAAAAATTATGTTTTGTATTTTAATATATTTTTAAATGTAATTTATTCCTGTGATGATAAAAGCTGAATCATCATCAGCAGTCATTACTCCAGTCTTCAGTGTCACATGATTATTCAGAAATCATTCTATTATGCTGATTTGTTCCTCAAGAAACATCACTTATTATTATCAATGTTGAAAACAATTGTGCTTAATATTTTTGATACACTGACTCAGGATTCTTTGATGAAAAATTCAAAAGATCAGCATTATCTGAAATATATAATATAAAATATATAATATAATATAATATAATATAATATAATAATTTGTTAATATAATATTTGTTGTATATCCTTTTTAAAGGAGCACACTTCCCCTCAGTGCTCTGGTAGAGTGTGGCATCTGTCCTCCCTGCCTTTGCTCCAGAACAGTTATGGACTTTTTATCTGGCAGCTCTATTTGACCTCTTATCTGTCCGACCGCACCAGGCCTAGCTGTGGGGTTCGACATGTTTATGACACAAATATATCTGCAATGTGAAAAGTAAAGTCAAATCAATCAATCAAACATGACAGAAAAACAACACTGAATTTAATTTAGTCTAGTGTGAAGAAGTCACATTAATGTCTTCAACAAACAGAGGCTGTCGTATAACCACATGTTAGCAAAACTCCTAGATGTTCAAAACTCTTCAAGAGGGATCCTATGAAACAGGAACTCAGAGGAAAAGCTAAAAAAAACAATAAACACAAAGAACACTAATAAGATTGTGCTGAGGCTTAGCAAAGCTAATACTAGAACGGATACCCTGCTAAAAAGACCAGCTTCCAATATGAAATACCATGCTAGAACAGACTGGTTTATGCAATGCTATTAGTTCTAGTCTTATTGGTTAAGCTAGTTAAGAAGCCTGGTGGGAAAATCAGCATTCCACGCTAGGCACCATCATCCAAAACAGCATACAGTATGCTGCTGAGCAACTACGGTGGTCTTTTCAGCAGCAGTGTTGTTTTCTCAGTGTAAATAACCTCATATATCACTATTTAAAGTGGCAGCAAGACGGTTCATGTCACTGAGCAAGCTAAACAGGACAAAATAAATGTCCTATGGTAAAGAAAATTCAAAATATTAATGACTAGCGCTGAACGAACCCCTTATCTGACGTGTTGAAAACTGTGTGACTATTAAACAGTTAATTTCCCTCAACATTCTAATTTTCCTTCCTTATGATTACGCCAGCTTTGCAACAAAAAAAGCACAGCAGCGTGGTGCTAATAGAAAACTACTTGCAAAGAACTGAGATTGCACTCTGTGTGGACAGTCTATAAGGGCCATTACTGGAACAGTCCGAGCTTTCATTTACTCTAATTGCAGTTCTAGCCTTTATAACATACACTTAAACCACTGGGTCTAATAAGAGAAGAAAAAGAGACGGAAATCAAATTATTCGTTGTGGAGAATTCTCTTACAGTGGGCTGGTTTCTTAAAGGATTTAGAAAGATCATTTCGGTTTCTCTTTGGGAGCCTAAAGTAGAATTGAATTGAAAGTCAAAGGTTTTATATTAAAGTATTTTTCTATTTGTTAATATTTGTTGTATATCCTTTTTAAAGGAGCACACTTCCCCTCAGTGCTCTGGTAGAGTGTGGCATCTGTCCTCCCTGCCTTTGCTCCAGAACAGTTATGGACTTTTTATCTGGCAGCTCTATTTGACCTCTTATCTGTCCGACCGCACCAGGCCTAGCTGTGGGGTTCGACATGTTTATGACACAAATATATCTGCAATGTGAAAAGTAAAGTCAAATCAATCAATCAAACATGACAGAAAAACAACACTGAATTTAATTTAGTCTAGTGTGAAGAAGTCACATTAATGTCTTCAACAAACAGAGGCTGTCGTATAACCACATGTTAGCAAAACTCCTAGATGTTCAAAACTCTTCAAGAGGGATCCTATGAAACAGGAACTCAGAGGAAAAGCTAAAAAAAACAATAAACACAAAGAACACTAATAAGATTGTGCTGAGGCTTAGCAAAGCTAATACTAGAACGGATACCCTGCTAAAAAGACCAGCTTCCAATATGAAATACCATGCTAGAACAGACTGGTTTATGCAATGCTATTAGTTCTAGTCTTATTGGTTAAGCTAGTTAAGAAGCCTGGTGGGAAAATCAGCATTCCACGCTAGGCACCATCATCCAAAACAGCATACAGTATGCTGCTGAGCAACTACGGTGGTCTTTTCAGCAGCAGTGTTGTTTTCTCAGTGTAAATAACCTCATATATCACTATTTAAAGTGGCAGCAAGACGGTTCATGTCACTGAGCAAGCTAAACAGGACAAAATAAATGTCCTATGGTAAAGAAAATTCAAAATATTAATGACTAGCGCTGAACGAACCCCTTATCTGACGTGTTGAAAACTGTGTGACTATTAAACAGTTAATTTCCCTCAACATTCTAATTTTCCTTCCTTATGATTACGCCAGCTTTGCAACAAAAAAAGCACAGCAGCGTGGTGCTAATAGAAAACTACTTGCAAAGAACTGAGATTGCACTCTGTGTGGACAGTCTATAAGGGCCATTACTGGAACAGTCCGAGCTTTCATTTACTCTAATTGCAGTTCTAGCCTTTATAACATACACTTAAACCACTGGGTCTAATAAGAGAAGAAAAAGAGACGGAAATCAAATTATTCGTTGTGGAGAATTCTCTTACAGTGGGCTGGTTTCTTAAAGGATTTAGAAAGATCATTTCGGTTTCTCTTTGGGAGCCTAAAGTAGAATTGAATTGAAAGTCAAAGGTTTTATATTAAAGTATTTTTCTTATCTCAGGTCACTGTGGTGTTTTTCTTTCTTCTTGTTCTTTTTGTTTTAAACTGTGGATTGTTCTCAGACATTTAGACCAGAACAGGAAATAGATGAATAATAATAGTCCTTATTTATCATTGTGGAATACAACTCTCATTAACATGCCATAACTGGTTCTATCTGTCAAATAAATTAACATTCTGTCATCATTTATTCACCCTCATGTCATTTGACCAAGTAACTAGTTGACTGAGAAACTGATGACCAGAGAGAGCTTGCTGGTCATCATAGCTTGTCGTTCCCAGGCCACCTTCATTTTACTAATTTCACCATCATCAACTCTAAAGATTTGGATTATTCAACTTTTGTCTCCATCTGAATAGATTGAAATAGAGTTATGCTTCAAATTCTTATTCTATTTTTCACTTCTATTTTCCAAGACATCGAATTTAAAATCAAATTTGACATAAAAAACACAACATTTTAGAGTTTTTCATGATACAAATGAAAACTCCAAACCTATAATATAGCTTTAGTTTTAGGCTCTCTCTCCAGCTGGGCCTGTGTATGCCAGCAGGTCTCTGTTGCCTGATTTATGGACGGCGTCGGCCAGCATGCACATCCCGCCCCAAGGACAAATCAAGAGACAGCTTCAGATGTCAGGCTACAAAGCAGCTGCTGACTGGGTTCTTATTCAGCAATTGCCGCTACCCCACTTAATTCACTGGCATTTATTTAAAGCACAAAGAGAGACAATCAAAAATTGTGGGGTGATTTTTTATTTTTTTTTAATTGATGGACAAGAGGCTCATGGTAGAACAGATAGGGGAACAGATACAACCTGTGTACAAATGCTGAACTAGAGACTAGCTATAGAGATTAAAGACTAAAAGAGATTAAAGACTCTAAACTAAGCAAAGGATCAAAAAATTTAAATGCATTTTTGGCTGGTTCCCACATTTCAGTCATGACCACAGACAAAAACTCCAAACCAACCTACAGTAAAATAGGTGCCATGCAAATGGGTCCATTAAGGAGAAAGTTAACTTTTTAAATCACTGTTTACACAGCGCAAGTCATATAAAGTGCAAATGCCAATGCAATGAAGCATGCAGATGTCCTACTCAGCAGTAAGTATTAAAGCTCTCTCTTTTGATATCTCAAGCAATA